GCTACATACATACTCACACTCACACACCCACACGCTAGCAAGTGCACGCTCGCGTTCGCCAGTGCACACTCACACAAACACACACCCACACACCCACACACACACACACACACACACTCACACACACACACTCACACACACACACACACACTCTCTCTCACACACACACACACACACTAACTAAATGTGCATCTACATTCGTACTACGAGCGCGGTGACAAAAGTAAACCTTATATTATAAGTTCGTGGGCGGTCGAGCAGAAATAGAATCAGTGTTTCTTTCGTGCGTGCATGAAAAAAAAAAAAGGGGGGGGGGGTGCTTGGCAACAGGAACCAAAAGAACAAGGCATGATCAAAGCATAAGCTACATAAATTGACTAAATGTAATTTTGAGAAATAAATACTGGTTACACTAAAGTTAAGACGACGGAGGAGAGGAATCATCGCGACTTCATTGCTTTGCAGTTCCTCAGTCACTCACAATAATTGACTGGGGGAGGGGGGGAGGGGGGGGGCGTGAGATTGGTGTGTTTTTTTGGTCTCATTTTGCTAACATCGCCGCTTGACGCAGAGTCAGCCCCGCCAATTTTACTTCTTCGTTCTTCCTCACCCCTTCACTCATACTATTCATGCATTTACCTCTGTTCATTTGTGTTTTTGTAATGTGTGTGAGTGAGTGTGTGTGTGTGTGTGTGTGTGTGTATGTGTGTGTGTGTGTGAGAGAGAGAGAGAGAGAGAGAGAGAGAGAGAGAGAGAGAGAGAGAGAGAGAGAGAGATCTATGGACAGATAATATTGGAACTGGTATGTGTTTGGATGTGTGTGTGTGTGTGTGTGTGTGTGTGTGTGTGTGTGTGTGTTTGTGTGTGTGTGTGTTTGTGTGTGTGTGTGTTTGTGTGTGTTTGTGTGTTTGTGTGTGTATGTGTTTGAAAAGGGGTGGGGGTGGAACGTGTATTTGTTGAAATATTCAGACGAGAGCGGAAAAAAATATCAGGGACATGTCTAGTTGGCTTGAGGGTTTCAAGGAAAAGCTTCTTATCATGAAAGCATGTATGTCTGATTGTGAACCTTCTTATAAAGTGGCAGGTCATGGGAGGGGAGCAGTTCAAGTAGAGGCTGAGGCAAACACTAATGTGTAAACCAGGCAGATAAAAATAACCCGCTGTTTGAGTCATGCGCAGCTGGCTGGCCGGCCGTGCTTACTACACATACACACAGATTTTAAGAAACGTTCGTTTACTGACATTAACCAAACGCGTTGAGGTGCAAGCGAAGGGTGTTGTTGGTGTGAGTAAACTGTACATGTTGATGGAGAACTGCTTTCTCAGACCAATGTGCGTTTGGTTAATGTTTATTTTTTTAAAATTTTGCAGCCGTGTGTTTTCGGTTTCTTTTCACTAATGTAATTGAATAAGTTGTGTACGTTTTTTGTTTACCACACCCGTGCGGCAAGCTGTGACGACTTTGTGATAAACAGAGTGGTTAAGTGACCTGAGGTGCTAGTGTAGTGTTATTAAGTCGCGAAATCGCTTATCATATCGATGCGAGGAGAGTTTAAGTACATCGTGCATTGTGCAATTTATTGTTTCTCTATTAAAAAAAACAACCCCATGATAATTCGTTCGTCTCTTCGAGAAGGAATAGAGCTTTACTGTAACTTGATTTCGTACAGAAGCTAACATAATTGTGAGACAATGTCTAGATCTATATAATATACAGAAAGTCGGATGTTTCTGTAGGGGATCTGCACCCAATTTCGACGCCGCGTCCGCTGTTGTAAATGAAGATAGTTGACTAGTTACATGCCACGCACATTTCGTACGTCTTTGCCTTATCTGTGTTCTTTACAACTCATCCACACACCCTCTTTTCATTCGGGTTCAAATTTCTGTTATTCCCATTAGATTCGAATCGTGCAGTGCCAGTGTATGTGGTGCAGTGGTAGTTCCTGTTTTTTGCTCGCAAAAGACATGAGTTCGATTACACCCATCAGGGAGATGTTTTAACGAGTATCTTCCGTCTTTCTGCTCCAATGTAGAATTCCACACATTCGGGTGGCCCTGGCGATCGTGATTGGTGCAAACCGTCTCCCTAATGGTGCAAATTGTGTCGATACTTGCGCTACACAGGAGACCCCAGTTCGATTCCCGTGTGGGGTGAATTTTTACCTAGTATCTCGGTATTCCTGCTGGAATATTGTATCCCTCGCATCCAGGGGTGGCATTTGACAAACAGGGTCGGAACCCTGTTTTCCAAATTGTCTAAATTGTGTAGATAGGGGCATAGACTCACCCACATTTTAAAAAAAGATGCTTGTGTTTGATTGCGTTCAGTCATATTTTTCTTAATTAATAATGTAAGTTTGGATTCTTTTATTTTCTTTTGTTTATTTGTTTCTTTGTTTGTTTTGAAGGGGGTGTGGGTGGGGAGGGGTGTTTGATATAACGTTTATGTCTTTGTATTCAGCGTGTAACATTTATGAGGCGGGAAAAACACTTCCTC